CAGAATATCCAGTCAAGGCAGAGCTGGAACTTAAGAGATACTGATAAGGGAGAACACATTTGTCTCAGAATGATGAACCAACCCGGTACTGAAAGCAGCACCAGCCCTGTCCCCAGGCATACTGAGTAGGCCACCGTGGCACATGCCTGTAATCCTAGCATTGGGAAGGCTGAAAACAGGAGGATCGCTACAAGTCGACCCTGTGCCAAATATATGTTAAAAAAATAAAAGGGTGAACCAACCACAAAATGGGCTGGGGGTAGGAGCCCAATGACAGAGCGTGTGGTAAATATGAGCAAAGCCTGGGGATCAAGACCCAGGACCACCAAAATCACACACACGCATCTCAAAAAAACAACTGTTCAAGGATTTGCAGGAAGCCTAAAATTACCATACAAAACCATACAAAATATAGCAAAATATAAAATCAGATACAAAGCAAATATTCTAGATCGGTCACCAGTTTAACTAGACACTGCCCCAAGTACTCCTGAACACCGTTACGACCCAGGTCAAATATAGCAAGAGACAAACAGGGCAGAAAGAACAACAGAACTGAAAGGCCAGTAGAGCAGTGCCATCCACTAAGGGCCTCAGGTGCAGAGGGCCAGCGCTCCCGAACAGCATGAGGGCTCACCCAGTGACTCTGTCCTCGCAGCTTATCATTTGATTCTCCAACAATTTCTTCCCACACAGCAGCTGTTCGGTCAAAAGAACAGGAAGCCAAGACCTGTCCAAATTCTGGGTGGGCCCATGTCACTCGCCACACAGATCCACTATGAGTCTGGGAAAATAACAAAAACAAAACTCAGTTTATTCTACTTCACACATGCAAGGATTTACTTTAAGAAATAAAATACAGGTATTTTCTACTTCTTTGTGAGAAGAAAGCTGATCAACTTCACATTTGAGTGAGTAAAAGTTTTAAACTTTAGAAGATACTCAATAGTTAAGACATGTCCCTTGCAGAATTGAGTCATTGTAATTTTTCACTGATGTACAAAATCTACCTGGTTAAGCACCACCTTCACTATTTAGTGGGGTGTTTTTTTTTTTCTTTCTTTCTTTCTTTTTCTTTCTCTTTTTAATCTGTTTTGTTTTGTTTTGTTTTTTGTGGTACCAGGCATTGAACTTAGGACCTTGTACTTGTCAGGCAAGCACTTATTCTACTAAGCTATTTCCCCAGCCCATCATTTTTAAAATTTTTATTATTAAATCTTCTCAGTATACAACAACTACACTCATTGTAGAGAATTGGTACATGTACATGACACATCTCAGTTGTTTCCCCCCTCCTTCCTTCTCCATTTTATTTTTTAAAAAATGTTTTGCCACCATCAGATTCATTTATAAGTCTTTATAAAGTTAGCTACCATAAACATAGATTAATAGCCAGACCAACAGGCAAATAAACATATAAAACACATGAAACAATTACACTAAGTCAAGGTACACTCTTAGATACACTGGCCACTGTTATGGCTTATACCTAGATGTCCCTCCAAAGCTTCACACACATGTAGGTGGGGCTTTTCAGAGATGGCTGGATCTAACATTAAGGAGGTCTGTGGCTCAAGTTCACTGACTAGCACAGTCCTGGGTGTGGACAAAGGGCAGGACCTCTGGGTCTGGGTGGTACCGCCCAACAGGCTTACAGCCTGAATAGAATAAAGGGAAAGGGGGGCTTACTGCTGATGCTTTGCTGCCTCTGTGTCCGCCATCTCCTCTGCCATGCTGCACTGCCTCGGCGCCAGCTGACTGTGTAGTGAAACCACTACAAACTGTGAGCTGAAATAAACTTTCCCTTCTTTAACTTGAGGAGATTAGGTATTGTGTCTCAGTGATGAGAAAAGACAGCCATGCTGGATTACAATAACTTTTTTCTCTTTTTCTTTCTATCATCTGTCCTTTGTTTTGTGCTTTTTAAATATTAGGATCCTCATATAAGAGAAACCAAGTGGTATTTAAACTATGGGTTGGGCTAGGGAGATAGCTCAGTAGAAAAAGCTTTGCCTGGCAAGTGCAAGGTCCTGAGTTCAATCCCCAGTACCACAAAAAATAAAATAAACTGTGTCTTACTTACTTCATTTAACATCATGGCCCCAAGGTACACCCATCTGCCTACAAAGACCCATGTTTAACTTTAAGGCACGGTAGTACTCCATTGTGTGTAAATACCACATTTTCTTTAACCATTCATCTATTGATAGGCATATAAGTTGCTGAATTCTGCCGCTAAAAATATGAGTATGTATGTTTCATTGTAATATGATGTCCTAAACTCTTGGGAAGATACTTAGAAGGGAATTTCTATATTTAATTTATTGAGGACTCTCCATCCTGCTTTTCATAGTGCTTGTATCAGTTTACATTCCTACCAACAATGAAGGACTCCGTTTTCTCTGCAACCTCTCCAGTACTTATTATTTGATTTCTTGACAATGGCCATTTCTGAGTAAGGTGGGATCTCAGTCTCGTTTCAATTTGCATTTCTCAAATAGCCAGCACTGTTGAGCCTTTTCATGCATTTACTAGCTACTTCTATCTCTTCATCAAAGGAGTGTCTTAATTTTTTTATACCTGGGTTCAACTCAAGACCTTGCGCTTGCTAAGCAGGCACTTGAACCACTGAGCTATACCCAGCCGAATGTCTATTCATGTCAGATTCCCATTTCTTTGGAGTCTTTAAACCAGGGGGTGGCTAATTTTCTTTTTAATTTTTTTTTTTACATTTATTTATTTGTGTGTGTGTGTGTGTGTGTGTG